AAAATTACTGTTGTATATTTGTCATCCACAGAGCAAGACTTTTCAACCTCAGAACTTTTGATATTTTGGACCAGATAATTCTTTGCTGTGTTTCCTGTGCACTGTTGGATATTTAGTAGTATCTCTGGCTTCCACTCACCAGATGCCAGTAGTACTTCTCTAGTTGTGACAACCAACAATGTCTCCAGACATTGCCAAATTCCCTGGAGAAATAAAATTGCCCCTGTGTGAGAACCACTACCACCATAAACACACACACACACACACACACACACACACACACAAACACTAACAAATAATGTAAAGAGGTATAGCTAAAAAGCCAATGAAATGAAATAAATTTGAATTCTATAAAATATTCTGTTAACCCAAAATACTTCAGGAAAGAATACAGAGGAACAAAAAGAAAAATGAGGAAAACATTGATATGGTTGGGATATTTGTCCCCTCCAAATATCCTGTCGAAATGTCATCCCCAATGTTGGAGGTGGAGCCTAATGGGTAGTGTTTGGGTCATGGGGGCAGAACACTCATGAAGTGCCCTTCCATGGTAATGAGTTCGGACACTATTAGTTCACCCAAGAGCTGGTTGTTTGAAAAAGAGACTGGCACTTTCACTTCTCTCTCACTCCCTCTCTCATCATGTGACATGTCTGCTCCTCCTTTGCCTTCTGCAGCAAGTGGAAGCTTCTGGAGGCCCTCACCAAGAGCAGATGCCAGCACCATGCTTCCTGTACAGCCTGCAGAACCAAATAAACCTCTTTATAAATTACCCAGGCTCAAGTATTCCTTTATAGCAATACAAATGGACTAACACAAATATAAAACAAACAGAATAAGTAGTAAAATATTATATAGAAACTCAACCATATCAATAATCACATTAAATTTAATTGGACTAAACATTTTAGTTAAAAGGCAGAGATTTTCAGAATGGTTATAAAAGCAAAACCCAACTATAAGATGTCTATAAGAGATGGACTTTAAAGATAAAGCCACAAATGGGTTAAAAACAAATGATTAATGGACTATTTACTATGCAATCACTGAGCATAAGAAAGCTGGACTGGGTGTATTGATATCAGACATATTTCAAGACTAAGAGTATAACCAGAGAAAAAGAGAGACATTTCATTAAAGCAAAAAGGTCAATCCATCAGAGAGGCATAACACTGCTAATTCATATCAGCCTAATAACAGAGCCTCAAAATATACTAGGCACAAATTGTCAGAATTAAAGGGAGAAATAGACAAATCCACAATTGTATTTGGAGATTTGTAATATACTCTCAGCAACTGATAGGAAGTTCCGCCTGTCCATCTGATGAGGCAGGTGCCATAAGAAAGCAGCCCACACAGTCTAACCAGTAGAGATCAAGGAAAGCAGTCAACACTTCATTCTGGGCAGTGACATATTGGTAACTACAGAGTTACCAAATTTGAATATCTATGGGCAGGCACTGTTGTGTCAGTCACTTCAATTTATCACAATGATTCTCCACCATAGCTGCACTTCCAAATCACATAGGAGGATTTTGAACAAGACCTGGACTTGGGACTCAACACTAAAAACTTTGATCTGATTGATATGGGGATGGCTGTAAGCATCTATATTTTTCTTTTTTCTTTTTTTTTTTTTTTTTTTTTTTTTTTTTTGAATGGAGTCTCGCTCTGGTTCACCCAGGCTGGAAGTTGCAGTGGTGCGGATCTTCGTGCTTCACTTGCAAGGGTGCCACCTTTTCTAGGTTCACGCCATTTCTCCTGACCTTCGGTGCCTCCCCAGTAGCTGGGGACTTACCCAGGCAAACCCACCCACCCCATGGACGGCCCAGGGAACTAACTTTTTTTTAGCGAGGTGTGGAGATGAGCGGCGGTTTTCACCATGTTAGCCAAGGATGGGCGGGGTCTAGATTTCGTCGGACCCTTGCTGATCTGCCCACCTCGCAAACCTTCCCAAAAAGGTTGTGGGATTACACGGCGCCTGGCAGCCACCGCGGCCCCAGCCCAAGCATCTGTATTTTTCTTTTAAAGGCTGTCCAACGATGAGTATTAAGTGTGCGGCGTTTAAGTTGCCTATATTCCAGCCCTCCATTTGTAATGACTTTTTCTGTTTGTCCAATTTAGACTTTTTAGGTTCACATCAGCGCCCATTGGGTGATAGCTTTTGTAATGGAATTTTTTCGGTGACAGTACCTGCGTGTGCGGCACGCTGGTTCTCCTGGCCCCGACCCTGATTTTCGCACAGGCGTCGGAGTTGTAGGGTTTTGAATACAAGTGCAGAAATTTATATTTTTCTGTATTGAATGTCATTTTTATGATTTCAAAGCTTTCCACTGGTCAAGATGTCCTATTAAGGTCCAAGAGCGTTCGTTTATCTTTTCGAATTCCTCTCATCCCGGGGGCCTTTTTATACCTGGTGTTTTATGTGGAAGGAATACGAGAAGTGTCCGGAGTGGGTCTTTCCGTAACTCAGAGTCACTTAAATATTCTATACAATCTGCCCCTTCTCCAGGCCCCACGCGTGCTGTGACAACGGTGGTTATCCGCAAGCAGCTTGTGAGGCGCGGGGCAGGCGGATCAGCGGAGGTTGCAGGAGGATCAAGACCATTTCCCTGGCTACGGGTTGAAATCCCATTGCTTACTAAAAAGATAGGCAAAAGATGTAGGCCGGTGTTGGGGGGTGGCATGTGTCGCGTGTAGTTCCCAGCTACTCCGACGGCTGAGCAGAGGGAAAAATCGCGTTGGGTTGGAACTCGAAGATGCGGAGGTGGTACAGGAGCCGCGCCAATGATGTGCGACCCACTGCACTCCAGCCTGGGTGACAGAGAAAGACCTCGGGTTCTAAAAAAAAAAAAAAGTCCCTTCTCAAGGGCTAAAATCACAATCAAGCTCTTCCATGTGTGTGTTTTCTCCTTATCTGAACAAGCTCTATTGTCTTTTCTACCAGAAATGCCCTTCATTTCATCAAAATGTACATCTTCCTGGACAATTCCTTCAAGACCTCATGCAAGTACCAGTTTTACTAAGAAGCCCTTCCTGCCTCTACCTAATCATTCCCTCCCCTTCCCAATCTCTAAACCCAGGACATTCCTCTATCATAGTATACATCACAATTTAGAATAATCTATGTCTTCATTAATCTGTCTTCCTCATTGGACTATGAGCTATATGAAGGCAAGGACCTGGTCTTGTTCCTCTTAGTATCCCCAGTGCCAAGTCCTCATAGTGAGTGTCCAATAAATGTGTCTCGCATGGAGGGAGGGAAAAAAGGAGAGGTACATTTTTTCTTGGAAATTGGGGGTTCAAAACATCAAATAAAATCCTTTGACTCAGATGTTAGCTATCCATAATTCTCATAAGCCCAGAGTTTTAGATAGCAATAATAACTCTTCATACATCTATAACATTTATTATTTACACAGGACTGAACAAAATCTTACCTGACCCCTTTGAAAACCAAATTATGTACTGTTACCCCAATATTACAGATGAGAAATATGATGATCAAAAACATTTATTTGTCCAAGATCTCTGACTAAAAAGGAACCAAACTTAGGTCTTCAGATTTAAGAATTGATCTGTTTTGTTTGATTTTAAAACATGCAACTCCGGAGGATTAAATTAAGCTCTCTGCCACCTGGTATGGGTGAAGCCTTATTGTGTCTCTCCCATAGATATGCAGATTATCATTGGTGATGTACAGGCTACCAAGGCCTGCTAGGTACACTGGGTGTGAAGGCTTCAGAAGCCCCAGGCACCACTGGCTCCCAGCCTAAGTCCAAGGTCCCGGTCTAGGACCTGGCTCCCATCTCATGAGGCCAGTGCTGTTCTCAGGCTCTGCTGTGCAGAGGTGACTGCTAATTATATTCTAGAGACTTCACGGAAAATGGGATGTGTGGTGAGTCTTAGTGGATGAGTAAGCGGATACATGGAGAGGAATGTGCAGTGCGCTTTGACCAAAAAGAAAGATTTTTGTAAAACAAAATTTTCATTGCAGGAAAGTCCATAGTTTACTCCCAGGATTTATAGAGGCTGCCACAAGTGCGGCTACCATGGCTTAAAGAAGACCCCACCACCAACCTCTACCACTTCCACCCCAGCCTCTTTCCTTCCACCCAACCATGCATTTTTCTTTTGTTTTGTCTTTTCATTTTAGAGACAGGGTCTTTCTCTGTCACTCGGGCTTGAGTGCAGTGGTACAATCACAGCTCATTGCAGCCTCAAACTCCTGGACTCAAGCAATCCTCCCACCTCAGCCTCCCAAGTAGCTAGGACTATAGGCACGCATCACCACACCTGGCTAATTTTTAGTTTTTTTATTTTTCTGTAGTGACAGGATCTCACAATGGTGCCCAAGCTGGTCTTGAACATCATAAGCATCTTGATGCTTAAGCATCTTCCCACGTGGGCCTCCCACAGTGCTGGGATTACAGGCAGGAGCTATAGCACCAGGCCCGTCTTCTGTTCACCTTGGGCTTAAACCTGAATATGGCTTTACATCAGACAGAACAGCTTTGGGGGACAAGGATGACACCTCCAGCTATTGATGCAAAGCCAGAGGATGTCTGTGAGATCACTGGCAGCCCTACCCTTGAGTAAGGAGCTCCCTGCAGCACCAGGTTGCTGTACCCCAAAAGGGAGCCCCAAAACTTTGTGGGGCAACTTGAAATAGCCATTCGTTTTTAGAAAATGCCAGTCTGTGCACCAGGACCTGGCTGCCTTAGAATCACTGTGGGCCATTCTGTTTGTTTGTCTGAGATAGAGTCTCGTTCTGTTGCCCAGGCTGGAGTGTAATAGCGTAATCTTGGCTCACTGCAACCTCCATCTCCCGGTTTCAAGCAATTCTCCTGCCTCAGCCTCCCAAGTAGCTGGGATTACAAGCTCACACCACCGTGCCCAGCTAATTTTTGTATTTTTAGTAGAGACAATGTTTTACCATGTTGCCCAGGCTGGTCTTGAACTCCTGACCTCAGGTGATCCACCCCTGCTTGGCCTCCCAAAGTGCTGGGATTACAAGTGTGAACCACCATGCCTGGCCAACCATTTTTTAAACTATAGTTCCCCACACTTCTCCTGTGGTAATTCTGATTTCCTGGGTACAGAATGGTCTTTCAAATGTGCAGATTCCCAGGCCCTGTGCCAGACAAGTTAAATCGGTATTACCTGGGGAGGGGAGTGGGAATTGGTTCTTTTTAAAACATCCCCAAGTGGCTCTACTATACAGCCTGGTTGGGAACTGCTGAATTGGAGTATTCTATTTTCCAGTCCAAATCTCCACTTGCCCCCTCTACCTGTCTCCCCCTGTTCTGCCCCCTGCAGCCACCAAGGTACCCAGGGCTTCCTCCTCAAGGCACCTGTTCAATGTTTGAAAAATAAAAGCCATCTTCTTCCCTTAAGTCTTTTCTTTTTAAGACTAAAACGAACATCACAGCAAGAGAAAGAGTGATTTGCCTGCTAGGAGCCTCCAGAAATTAGGCTCAAAATAGTATTTGCTTCAGGGACTTTTTTTATTATTATTCAGAAACAAAGTGTTGAAAGTATAGGGAAAATGCAAACTGATTTGTTTCACCTGTGTATCAATGGATTCAAAATACCAAAGACTTTCTTTTCTGAGTCAGTTCTGTTTTGCAAGTGACCTTGTGGAAAATCAAAGGAAGTGGTTCAGGCAGATCCCTGAACTACCCCCAAGTGGGGTCACCTTGTGATGGGTCTGGGCTCCTGGCACTTCTTGAGAGGGAAGGGGTTCCGTCCTGCAGAGACAGCCTCCCTGCAGAGCTGCACCACCGCGAGGTGAGATGTGTGGCTTCATTAGGGTTCAGCTCTGGATCTGGGAAAAGGGATCATCTGTAGATTCAGTCTTGGGAACCTAGTTGGAGTGGAAAGCAGAGAAGGAAAGCCGGGGGCTGTAATGTGTAAATCTCATCCCTCAATTACAGGTCTGGCCTGTGAGAATTAACTAGTACAAGGAAGGAAGACTTGAAAGGCAATAGTCACCTGTGAGCAGCAGCTAAAACCACAGTGACATAATGTTAAAAGCAGGTGCTTGCACCTTACACCGGATTTATCTTTTCACTGGTCAAGAATTGGTCCAGTCAGCTCCAACTGGAGTGGTGAGTTTCTCCAGTGGGCATTCCCTTTGTGTGCTGACCTCATTTCTTTTTTTTTTTTTTTTTTTTTGAGACGGAGTCTCGCTCTGTTGCCCAGGCTGGAGTGCAGTGGCGCAATCTCGGCTCACTGCAAGCTCCACCTCCCGGGTTCGCGCCATTCTCCTGCCTCAACCTCCCGAGTAGCTGGGACTACAGGTGCCCACCACCGCGCCCGGCTAATTTTTTTGTATTTTTAGTAGAGACGGGGTTTCACCGTGGTCTCGATCTCCTGATCCACCCGCCTCGGCCTCCCAAAGTGCTGGGATTACAGGCGTGAGCCACCGCGCCCGGCCTGCTGACCTCATTTCTTCATGACAAGCTTGATGTTTAGCAGGATACCAAATGCTGGAGAAAAAAAGATGGATGTGAAAGTAAATCACCAGACATAAATAATGTTTATTTATCCTTGGTGGAGATAGTCCACCTAAAACTGCCAGGCCTCAAAACCTCATTGCTGCCTGAGAGAAAGAGAAGGGGACAGGCTAAAAACTCCAGCCATGTATATACCATCTTCCACCTCATATTTTCACAATCCTCAAAACTCTCTCTCATGCTTTTATTGTTTGTTTGTTTTTTGAGTTTGGCCTCAAAAAAATCCAGTTCTAGAAGCAAGATAAATACTATAATCCCATTTTACAGACAACAGATCTGAGGTTCAAAATGCATTTTACTACCAAAGGTGGCACAGGTAGAAAACAGCAGAGGCAGAGCTCGAACTCCAACTCTCCAGATTCTAGCTACAGGCGCTTTCCAAAAGATGAGCTTCTTCTTGAAGGCAAAAGGCGCAATACATCAGGGCACACTAGGATCCAAGAGCCTCATATCCTCAGGCCTCAGGGTACCCATTCTAAAAGTAATATCCCTCCTATGTGGGGTTAATGTGGTTAGTGGTTAGTGTGGCTTTGTTTCTAAGAATTTCTTGGCTCATATCCTCCCCGGAGGACCAAATTTCTAGGGAGATAGAGCCTGATGCCTATCTTTCCATCAGCAATCTCACCTAAGACTTCTAGATTCATAGGCCTGGCATTAAGACTTACCACTTAAGATTCTGGAGTCAGGGCAAGAGGTATAGCAATGTATACCGAGGTTAGGGCATTTCTTTTGGAAGGAAGAGGAGACTAAGGCTCTTTGACCCCAGGAATATTTGACAAGAGAGAATGGATGGGGAAGGAGAAGTGCAGCTTAAGAATTCAGAAACAAGAGAGGTCATCCATGAAAACTACCAGGGATGTTACTCCACACATCATGTCCCAAAACACTCAGGGCAAAACTGAGACCCGGAGCCGTTTCCAGCTTGTAGCTGTGTGCCTTCTCCTGCGGCGCTCGATTTTACCTCTCGGATTCCTTCAATTACTAAGGGGAAATCTCAGAGGCACGCCAAGTGTGAGGGTGAGGGAGAAGGAAGGATGATGTGGCAAGGGACCCGGAAGGAGGAGGCTCAGGGAAGGCTAGAGAGCAGAGGGGAAGAGGCCTGGCCTGGAGGGTGGCAGCAAAAGGAGATGCAGTCTAACAGACCCCTTGATAGCCAATATGGCGACCTTGTGCAAGTTGCAAAGAGGAAACGGGCACTGCTTTCTCAAGACACTTGATGGCCATCTGCTGGAAAATTCTTATAGTGGTGATATAAACTTAGGATGACAATGAATGTGAATCTTGCTCCCTGGGGTTGTGTAGGCACATTGCACAAGCAGGGGTGGAGCCCTGCCTCTCAGGGCCCAGAGCAGGACCAGTCAGGGGTGTGCCCACCAAGGCCAAGGCAAGATTCCAGATTAATCATCATTATAATTAGGGGGATAGCACCTGGAACCTGGGAAAGTTCAGACTTTTCCCTTTAGGGTTCCCTTCAGTTCTTGCTCAGATGAAGGTACCTTGTTCCACAAGGAAGAAGGGAAAAGGTATTAGGGCAATGAACCAGGACTAGAATTCTGAGGTCCTCGTCTCTGACTCTGCTGATATTCCTTTTTGCCAGCCTCTCCCCATCCCAGTCTGTTCTGCTGTTTCAGACACCTCCTTCTACGTTCACTCCGACATTTACAATCTTCATTGCAAAGATGCAGCAAAAAGATGCTCAGAGGACAGGACACACTTCATCTGCATGTAAGATTTTGCTGTGAGGGGCGGAGGATATGGGATTTGTCTGATCCAGCCCTCTGTTTACAGATGGTGAAACTAAGGAACATTGAGAAAAAGTCTTTGCACTATTCCTCATTTTCCACTGATGGGGAGCCAGGATTAACTTGGACCTGTTAACTCCCTGATCAAGAGGCCCCCACAACTGCAATTGGGGGCTTCAAAGTACACAAAGTAGCTCAGTTCCAGGAGAGAGAGAAGTTGTGCTTGAAGGTTCACAGGAGCCACAAGCAGGACTTGACTCATTAAGGCTCAGGCCTGTAGCCCACAGGCACCTGCCATAGGAAGAAAGGAAAGGGGTATTAGGACAATGAACCAGGACTGGAATTCTGAGGTCCTTGTCTCTGATTCCGCTTACATTCCTTCTTGCCAACATGTTCTGTTGTTTCAGACCTGTCTGTTCAGACCTGTTTCAACCTGTCTGTTCTGTTGTTTCAGACACTTGCTTCTAGGTTCTATGTTCAACACACACCAACAGAAACTGAACAACCAGACCCAACGCCACACAGGCCCACACAGGTACACACAACATGTGTTTGCATGGGCTACTCTGAAGAGTGACAGCTCCCACGTATTGAACTGCTCCAATGTGCAGGCTCTGTACTGGGTAATTTATAGCATTAGCCCCACCTCACAGTTAGGAAACTGAGGCTTGAAGAGAGAAGTAACGCACCAAAAGTTACACAAATACTGTGTGATTTGAGTGTCAGTGTGAGGTCTCAAACTGCCTGTCCGCAAAGCCCATGTTCTCTCAATTATGCCATGAGGTCTCATATGGAGATACATTGTCATACTGATAACATGTAATGTTAATAGAAAATGGTTCTAATACAGATGTATGATGATAATGATGATGATAATGAAAATAATAGCTAAGTTTTAAGGTATTTTTCTAAGCCACTCATTGTTCTAAGATCTTTCCATGACCACCCCATTTAATCTTAACCAGTAACACTATGAATTAGGTGCCACTTCACAGATGAGAATACAGCTGGGCGAATGTCTAGAGGCTCCACAGCTTGCAAGTGGGGGAGCCTGAATGTGATCTCAGCCATACAACCTCATGTGGATCCAGATCAGGAGGAGACTTGTGTTCAGCACACCTTGGGTTCTGGATTCAGCCCTGAGGATGACCCTTCCATCCTTCCAGGTAGGCTGTCTTGGAACAGCTGGCTCTCCTGGGAGGGCTGCCTCTCATAAGGTCATGGTTCTTAACCCCTGCTCACCTTTGCTGAATTTGCAGCTTGTCAGTCAGCTCAAAGGCAGAGTTTTGGGTCTCCTGGGAGGGGACCGCCAGCACTACCAGCCTTAGATGTTCAGCATCCCCAGGGAAGGGAGAAAAGGCAGTCAGCACTGCTTGCTTGTTCAACACTTGAGAGCTTTGGCTGTCCAGAGCGCAAAGGCACAAGGCAATTTTCCAGGCATCTGAGCTCAAGGCGTAGGGGAGACAAGGCTGCCGACTGCTGACGGGGCTGTCCCCAGCAAGTCACCGAGTCTCTCTCTTCCCTCCCCATCCCCTCCCTGCACCTGGCCTCCCCAGCTTTTGTCTTCACACCCTCCCCTTTCCTCCTGAGACAGCCCCTCTGCAGCCCTCTCTTTCAGCAGATCAATCCATTTTGTTTGAGCAGAAGAGTGAGGAAGAGATCAAGCTACAGAGACTGAATGCACGGCTCGATAAGAGAAGCAAGAAGAACCATCTGTGGCATCAGGGGCTGTGAAGGGGATAATAGCCTAGACCCTGTGTTCTGTTCGGCCACACAAGGGCTGAATCCAGCAGGCGCCCTCCTGGTCTCTAATCTAGTGGGAAGGGCATATGTGCAGTCTCTTAGCATTTATTTTCCCTGTCTGCATTGTACTGATCACCTAGTTTCCGACCCACCCTCTTGCTTTTCTTTTCACTCCACATTACAATTCTGCTTTCTTAAAATCCTATTCAGCTATATTAAAAAAAAAAAAAGAAAGAAAGAAAAGAAAAAACCTCGAAACTCGAACTCTACCTTTTCAAAGCACATCAGTAATTTTTTTCCCAACTGAACCAAGGTGACTCCTACAAAAGATTTACCATTCTGGATTGTAATGATGGTTCAAGAGCTGAGGGACGGGTAGCATTCCTCAGGCTGTATTTACAAATTCACTAATAGAAGTCAACATAAAGGACGAGCTCAGCAGTGAAACATACAGCTGTCGCAGACACCGGGTACTCAGGACAGGCGAACGCTCCCAATCAGCTGTCCTCTCCAAAGAGCCTGAAACTGAGCACATCACGCATTGACTCAGACTGTGCCGCCCCGTGATCGCATGGTGGTCAGCACTGTTATTCACCCTGTTATTTCTTTTTAACAGAATTTACGCAAAGTAAAATGGGGAGTTTAATCAATAGTTAATGATTCTGAAAGCAGACATTTCATGAAACCCTCTTAAGCTCTTCTTCTGAGAAAACTAGCAAATTCCTTGTAATCATAGAAAGCGGTGTTCTCCGCAGCCAATGCTTTTTGTTCATTACTGGCGCCTCCCGGACAGGAGTGAAACATATTGATCATTGGACGTTCTAAAACAACAATCGGATAAATGAGAAGACGGCTGAGATGTGACCACTATGTGGAATGTGGAGGTTGCATCTGAGCCTGAACTTTATGCCATGCATGTGCTGGTTTCGTGTTGTCTATTTGTATTCCTTCTGTGACTTAGAATAACCCCAACATAACAAAATGAATAGGCATTTCTAACCCAAGGGAAATCTCCTAGACTCCACAGTTATGCAGTATGGTTGCATAAACATTAAGAGAAATTTGGATTCACCACTTCATCTTAGGGAGTGATTCCTCATGGAAGTCTGACCTCCTGCCACCCTTGAGGGATACAGAAATCTCCAGGAAATTGGGCACGTATTTGAGAGGACAAGGACATGGGATGAGGTACACCCCAATTCTGACCCAGGTACACTTTTTCTTTTCCTGGAAGGGTCCCAGCTTCCCAAGCATACAAGTGTGAATGGAATGAAGGATTGATTGCAAAGACCCTCGTGCCTGACACTCGTGTTATGTTGGCCCAGGGAAGTGGAAGAGGAAATGTCCCTGCTGGGGGTGACAAAGAAGGGCATAGCACCTGAGCCATGACTCCTTCCAGTCAAAATAATCCTTGGCAGATGGCCCTAAAGACCAAATTAGCAGGTCTTTATTCTGAGTCATGTCTCCAAGGGTGGTGGCTGTGGTTAACACTAGCTGGGCACCCTGTCTTCACCACATTTTTTTGAAAATGTCTGGGACATAACCAGAGAATAAGGAAGATACTGGGTTGTGGTATGATGTGACCAGGCCTAAGTGGGGACCAGGTACTGGCCAGCAAATCTCCATGAGCCCATTTAGAACTGGAGACTGATTCCAGGCTGGTGATAAAGGAAGGGCGCTAGGGAAATTCTTGCTACCTGCCTGTTCATAGGAGGGTCTCCAGATTGACCAGGGTCTCAGGTTCAGAGACCCACAGAAGCCAGGCAGGTCACGCAAATTAGTGAAATGGGCTGGGACAGAATCTTCCTTTGCCACCTGGAGAATAGCACCTTGACTCGAGGGCAGCCACTTCTCAGCTCTAGCATCAGAATGTTATTAGACAGGAATGCACATTCTGTGTTGCCAGACAACCCACACTTTCAAGAGATACAGAAAATCCACTTTGTTTTATGTTTTCAAGTAACTCAACAATTTTATAACACTGTACAGGCCTGATCGGAAACTTAGACTGTCAGTAGGCAAACTTGGCCCAAAGAACATTAAATTCATGATCTTTATCATTGCCAGACATCTTTCCAGTATCTGTTTGGAGCAATAAATTATTTCTCCAGTAAAATTAAGTAAATAATTCTGCCTCTCTGGAGCTTGGTGTCTCCTTTACAGAACATATTTAATCCCTGACTACGATTCCAGGTTTATTTGGAGATTCATTCAGATATTCAAAGTGTCCTAAACACTAGAGAGAAAAAGCTGATAGTCAAGATCCTTGCTCACATTCTAGAGAAACAGTGAGGAGTGAGGGATAAAGTATATACCCATACGTACATATGTATATAAACACATACACATACACATATATGCACACATACACATGCACATTGCACACCGATATGCATTCACATTGTGTGTGGATTGGGATATACATTGTAGGTAAAGTCAACAGGATTTGCACATGGTTTGGATATGGAGAATAAAACAAATTTTAAAAAAGTAAAGATGGTGCTTAGATCTGTGGCTTTGAAACAGGTGAATGAGGAGAATTGGGGCTAAGGAAGTCTGAGGAAGAATCAAGGGTTCTGAATTGAACTTGTCCGGTCTGAGTTGGGTATTAGACATCCAACTGGCAACATCAAGTAGGGCTCTGAAGACCATACTCATAAAAATAGAAACAAGTTTGATGGCTTCCCCGAGACTACAGAAGAAGTCAGTGGAAGTAGATAAAAATCTATGAAGCTGCGTGTAACGTTAGTTGACAATCACCGAAGCTAGTAGTGAAATTGACCTAGGGGTCAGAGTTCATGCTCTATATCACCAGTGTCTCAGTCGTGTTATACTAGTAGTTCCAGAACGATCTTTTTTTCTGATTTTATGATAAAGTTGTTGGAAATATGCCTCTTTCAACTTTTATGGATCTGTTTAGACATACTACTGAAGAAAGTGTTTCTATCCTTCTCTAGAAATAGACCTGAAGTTTGCTCTTCCTCCTTCTTCATGACAGGCCAAACCCAAGTCCCAGACAGGGGCTTTGAGGCGTGTAGTGGAGTGGCCTCTCCAGCCTGCCTGCGTGCAGACACACACCCTCCTAAGTACATTCCAGGTGAATGCACACATTCACTCTCATCTGTGTCAAGAACTACGCAGCGATCTTTATTAATTAAAATTATTACTATACTATGAAAAATGGCTCATTAGCTCTGGCATTGTAACCATGCCTACCTACCATGGTTTTTTTCTCCTAATAGAGCTCAACGGTTTACAGGAACTGTAGTACTCCTTGCAGTAGCTGTGATTTTTGTCAGGGTGCACACTTGCCACTTCCTCCTAATTAACCGAGCCCTTTTGCCCCCTAAGCTACCTTATCAGTGTCTAGTGGTCCCTCAGCACTCCTCCCAAAGGACATTGTGGGATGTCAAGTTACCATGAGAAGGAGTAGAGCCTCAAACCCAAACAAAGGCAGATCGAACTTCCAGAATAAATCAAACCCCAGTTAGAGCAGAAGTTGTTCTTATGTCAAATGGGTGGTGAATACTGGGGACCATTTAGACCAGTTGTCACTGACTACAGAAAAAATAAGAATAGAAAAGGACCTAGATAGTTCTACTTTACGAAACTATCTCCTCCTTCCCCAGAGAATGGGCCTAGCCTTCATAGAAAGGGGCAAAGGGAGTGCCTTAGTCTCTGCTGTGCTGAAGAACTGGTTCAAACCACCGCTCAAAGTCAGAGAGAAAATAACTTGTGTTATTAAACCTTCCTAGCCAAAAATCAGCCTATTCAGATTAATATGCCTCTCTGTATTGCTTTCCAAATGTTATGAGCAATGACCTGGAAAAATGAAAATCTTTATTTAAGAATGTTGATGTCTGCATCTATATGGCTGGATCTTTAGCTGTCAGAAGAATGAAACCACCATTGGTTGGAGTTAAATAATCTTTCACCGTCCAGATATGAAACGTGCTATTGCCTCAGTGAATGCTTCTAGAGAGTAGAGCTGTAAAGTATGAATGTCTGTGTAGGATGTAGAGTCACAAGGGGATATCACTGCCATTCTAACATTGGAAGAAGCCAAATAAGCTACAAAATTATAGTTTTTAAGCCCACTGGAGAGCCAAGGATGTCAATAAACCTAAATGAGTTAAATTCCAGAAAGCAACGAGCCCTTTCTTGGAGAGTACAGACGTACAGCTGCTGTCGTCCCTAGTGGTGTGGTGAAAGAAGGAGCACAAATCAAAGAGTTTTATAAGCCTCCCATGGCCATGTGTGAGCTGGTAAAGACGAGAGGTCCATGGAATCCCTTTCACAGAACAACTCAGTATCCAGCCCCCAAACATTTCCCATAGACCTAGACCAAGTGTATGGGAGTAGTGTAAAAAAGATTGGGGCAGGGCAGAGACATGAAGGATATCTCCCCTCCCAAAGCACGTGAGGCCCTCTCTAAGTGCAACACACTGAGACACACTGCAGGTGGGGAGGGGCGGGGAAAGAGAACTGAGAAAATCTCCGTGAGACACCATAGACTTGCATCCAGTGATCAGAACAGCCGACTAAAGCTGGGACCGAGTAGGCAGGGGAAAGGAAACCCCTTTAAAACTGTGAAGGTCTTCACATAGTGTCCTGCAGTAGCCATCGAAAGGCCGGGAGTGGGTAGCCTGATGGAAAGAGACTTCCCAAGGAATAGAAGGCCAGGGGTGGGACTGGAAAAAAAAAAATACAAAATTTTTCAGTGACCCAAAAAGTTGGTGATAGGGTTGGAATATGGAGTTTCTCGTTGTTCAATAACCTATAAGGCTTAAAAAAATCTCCAAATCTCACCTCCTCTGATTGCAAGCCCTGCTGGAGGGAGAGTCTTGATGACATCCTCAAAACATTTAAAGCTAGAAGTGAACTAAATCTGACCAAAGCTGCAACAAAGCCAAGACTCAGCTCAACTCCATATGGGATTAACTCATCCTTCTGCAGTACCAGCCTTGCAGGAAAAGGGGTGCGCCCTTTTTGGGGATAAAGTTTATTTCTACCCCTTCAGTGCTTTTATATGTATGCTTTTGCACATGGTAAAAAAAATTAGGAGATATACAAAGAACCAAGAAAGTTTTACCATGGTCCAAGAAAAGAGCCATGAAATCAGATCCAGAGAAGGTCCAGATGCTGGATTTATCATACAGGGAGTTTGGGAGAAAAAAAACCTATAATAAATACATTAAATGATCCAAAAAATTGTGGACAATATGTGAAAAGATGAGGAATTTGTCTAGGGAGAGGGACACTATAAAAGAGAACAAAATAGAAATGCTAAAAAAAAAAAAAAAGAAAAGAAAAGAACTACAATCTCAGAAATGGATAGCTCATTTGATAGTGTTACAAAATAAATATAGTACAAAAGATGATTTGTCAACTAGAAAACAGGAAATTATCCAAATTAAAATAGGTAGAGAGAAGACTGGAGGGAAAATAAAAGAAACAGAGCATCTGAGATCTCTGAAACAATATCAGATGGTCTAACATATATGAAGTCGAAGTCCCAGGAGAAAAGATAGAATGAAGCAAAGGGAATATTTGAAAAGATAATGGCCAAGAATTCTACATTAACTGAAAGATTCAGAAAATCTCAATAAATCACAAGCAGGGGCAAAAGAAACCAAACCATCATCCTGGCAACAAGTCAAACTGCTGAAAATCAAAGAAAAGACATAGAAGATCCATGACATTCATACATGACAAAGAATGGCTGACTTTGTTAGAAACAGTGGAGTCCAGAAATAAATTTAATGAGATATTTAATTAGATGAAAGCATTATAAATCTTGCTGGCCTTGAATTCTATATCCAGCAAAATATCCTTGCAAAAATGAGGGTGGGATACAGACTTTTCCAAATAAACAAAATCTGAATTTTTTGCCAACAGATTTGCACTATAAGAAATATTAAAAGAAGTATTTCAGGCTGCAGGAAATGATACCAGATGGAAACTTGGATCTTTACAGAAGAATAAAGAAGACCATAAAAGCTTTAAAATGTGTGTAAATACTTTTCAGAGGTTTTTTTCTGTATTCTCTCTCTCTCATTTCTTTATTTTTCTTTCTTCCCCTCTAAATCTATCCATAGACACACACACACACACACACACACACACACACACACTTTTAACAACCTACAGACCATATAAAGCAAAAATGTTAAAAATGTATTATGGAATTAATAACATATGTAGAAGTAAAAAATACAGAAGAACAAAGTGTAGGAAGGGTAAATGGAATTTTACTGTATAAATTTCTTACATTATTCATGAAATAATATTACAGACTGAGTATTCCTTATTTGAAATGCCTAGGACCAGAAATGTTTGGGATTTCAGATTTTTTTGGATTTTGGAATATTTGCACATAAATAATGAGATATCTTGGGGATGGGACAAGTCTAAACACAAAAATTCATTTATGTTTCATATACACCTTATATACATACCCTGAAGGTGATTGTTATGCAATATTTTTAATAATCTTGTGCAGGAAACAAACGTTTGACTCATTTTGACTGAGACCTGTCAAATGAGAGCAGGTGTGTAATTTTCTATTTGTGGCATCAAGTCAGCACTCAAAAAGTGTTGGACTTGGAAGCATTTCAGATTTCTGATTTTTGGATTGGGGTGCTCAACATGTAGTCCATAATTTCCAGAAGAGAGGGGGTTGAACCATCCATAATTTCTAATGAGCAAAAATGGCACCATGGGAGTGGGAGACTGTGATAAGTTAAAGACGAACAGCGTCATCACTACAATAATCATTTTTAAAATAGCACAAATAGGTATAACAAAAAGATCAATAGGAAAGGTACATTGGAATACTAAAAATGCTTCATTCACACAAAACAAGGAAGAAAGAATAAAGGAGAAAAAGATAAAAACATAAAAAAGACAGAAGGGAAAATACAAAATAATAACATGATGTTAGACTTAAAACCAATCATATCAGTAAGTATGCATATTAACTAAATGTTCTTTTTAAGAAGCAGAAATTATCAGACTGAATGAAAAGCAAGAAAAGCCTTTATGTTGCTTTCAGTAAACATATTTTTAACATAAAGACACATAGGTTGAAAGTAAAATATGGAAAACAATATACTACACAAACATTAAGTATAAGAAAAATAGTGTAGCTATATTAAAGTAGACTTCAAGACACAGAATTATAGTAGAGATATAAAAGGACATGTTATTATTATAAAAGTTTCAGTCCATTAAAGATATATAAACAACTTAAATGTGTATGCACCTTAAAACAGAGCTTCAAAATACCTGGAGCAGAAAGTGGCTGTGCTAAAAAGATAAATAGACAAATCCACAAAGACAAATGGAGACTTTACATTCTCTTCTCTCAATAGTTGATAGAACAAGTTGACAAAAAAAAAAAGAAAAGAAAAGAAAAAAAGCAGAGAGCAGATAGAAGATCTGCACAACTCAGTCAACCAGCTTCACGGAATTGACATTTATAAAACAGACCAAAAACTGTGAAACATACATTTTTTTGCAAATGCACATAAAATGTCCCAAAAAACCATATGTTAGGCCATTAAAAAGTCTCAATAAATTTCAAAAGACCAGTAACATAAAGAGTATGTTCTCCGGTGACAACAGCATTAAATTAGATACTAATCTCAATAGCACACCAAGAAAATCTCCCCAATATTTGGAAATTAAACATACTGCTAAATAGTCCAGAGATCAAAGAAGAAATCACAAAAGAAAGCACAGAATATTTTTGGTGGAATGTTAATGATTTCAAAATGTGTAGGATATACCTAAAGCAGTGCTTACAGGGAAATGTATAGCTTTAGAAGCCTATCTCAGGAAATAGGAAACACATTAAAGCAATGATCTAAACCACAACCTTAAGAGGCTAAGAAATGAAGAGTAAATTAAACCCAGAGTAGGTACAAGAAATAAGATAATAAATAAGAGGACAAATGAATGCAATGGAAAGAGACAACCAATAAACACAATCAGCAAAATCAGAAGTTGTTTTTTGGAAAAACTTAATAATGTTGATAATCTCCTTGGTTTGAATGATCAAGAAATAAAGGAGAAAGTGAATCACAAGTTGCCAGTGTCAGAAGTAAAATAAGGAAGATCTTCACAGATCCTATAGACAAATACAATAAAAGGAACAATTTTATGCCTCCAAATTTGACTTAGATAAAAGAGAAACATTTGTTGAAAGCTCAACCTAAAATGTACACAAGAAGAATTTTAAAATATAAATAGCCCTGTATCTATGAAACAAATTGATTTGTCATCAAAACTATGAATTTTATTAAACACTAAGGAGGAAGTAGTGTCAAACTTAATAGAAACACTTCCAGAAAATAAAGGAAGAGGGAACAGATCCCACCTTGCTTGATAAAGCCAGCATGACCCTGGTATTAAAATCATTTGGCATCAGTTTTTACCATGGGTATTTTTCCAAGTGCTTTACCTAAATTAACCCTATCTAATCCTCACAATAGCCCTAAACTGTAAATATTTATTATTATCCCTATTTCACAGATGAGAAAACAGAGGCACAGAGAGGTATGAAACTCGCCCAAGGCTACACAGTTAGTAAGCAACGGGGCCACGAGACTAACACAAGCCGACTGTTTATCAAGTCTACTTCCTAAGCACAACACTATACTTCCTCCTTAATACTAAATTAGATCAAAACAGTGAGTGTGTGCGGCACAACGCTTGGGACACCATGGACTTATTAAAGAAACTGAACGTCCAGTAGGAAGCTAGAAATACAAAACTGAAGCTCAAACTGGACATACACATTGCAGCCGAGGACCTGTAAGCATTCCACGTCAGTTCTTGAATATGAATTCATCTGACCCAGTGCATAGGTGTGTGCACACCCATGCACACTCATGTGTGCAAGAGTCCCAGTGAGGCAGTTTACAATTTGAAAATGCAAGCCTACCACACTGGATAAGGAAATGGAAGACAACTGTCCTTATCTCTCTCTCCAGCCCTCCCTGATCCCTGCAGTCCTCACCAATGCACTAAGAGACTTGTCACACGATAATGAAAAACTGAAATGTGACGGATTCAATTACAATTTATATTTTCACTTAACAATCAATTACCTTCCCCTTATTGGTGGAACATCATTAAGTGATGATACCAGCTCTGAGAGAAATCCTCTTGGGGAGGGGAGCAGCTGGCCCAGAGAGACTTGAACAGGGTTTTTAGTCTCCCAGGAATCTGGGGAGAGGGAAGAGAAGCACGGAGCAGGAATAGTGGAAGGATTGACTTCCTGGGGCTGCTCAGGGGTGAGAAAAGAGGTATTCTCTGCCTGTCTGTGCCCAGAAAGAAGGGGTTAGGGAATCCTCACCTTTCTCTGGACCCTCTTTGTGTACCTGTAGGGGTGTCCCTGGGATCTAAAATAAACAAGAAATTTGAAGCTCCCACTTAGCATGTCACCCAGAGCAGCTGATCCTGAAGTTAAATATTTGCAAAGCGGGGGTGAGCAGGATAGACTTGCTGAGGACCCAGCAAGGGTGCACTAGGGCAGAGGCAGCCTCTTGTGTGTAACCTCTGCTAAGATCCTTCAAGAGGTTGGGGAAGGCTCCATGTGTGCTTGCTTCCCAGGTGGGCTTTGTAGAACTTAAGAGGCTCTCTGGGGTTCTGCCTCTTGGAAACAGCAGCGATAAGCCCTGCACAGATGGAGCAGCCTCCAGACAGCAGCCGCCTGGGAGGACGAAAATTGAAACCCCAGCTTTCCTTCAGGAAGATGGAAAGAAGGGAAGGAATCCCAATGCAGAGTTCTCCATCTCTCTCTCTCTCTCTCTCTCTCTCTCTCTCTCTCTCCCTCTCTCTCTTCTCTCTGTCTTCTCCACAAGGGGGCACACAGTCTGAAGCATCTTCCCTTGTAACAACCCCCCAATTTTGCATTTTCAAGCATGCAAATCCGACTACATCACTTATGCTTAAAACCTCTCATTACTATAAAATGAAGCCTAAATTATTTAGCATGGCATTTGAAGGGGATCAGAATATGCCACCCTGAAATATGCCCCTTTGGCATGTGGATTATTTTGAGTTGAAGGCAATTGAGAACCAACAAACAGATGGAGGAAGAGTTCTCTGATCCCCAAATCTGCCTAAAAGCAGGGACAAATTTCCCTTTGTGAAGGTGACTTTCACCCTGCACTAGGAAGGGAGGGCAGAGTGACTCTTATCACCAGAGACGGGAGTCAATACCAGGAATAGTTTGCATAACAGACCTTACTAAAATAACCATTGTCTCCCATTAGTTCCCCCATGTATTTCCTAGTCACTTCCCCACAATTTATCATCACCTCAAAGCCCAAATTCTCTTTCCTTTGTTAAAATGGTATATAAACCCCCGAGTCTAACTGCCTCTTTGAGTTTTGCTGATTTTTTTCTGTGGACTCATGTTCATATAAATATTTATAAAAATTTTGTGCCTTTTCTCCTATTCATCTGTCCTTTGTCAGGCAAGCAGGTTCAGTAACTGAACCTAAGAGGGTAGAAGAAAAGTTTTTCCCCCCTGACACATTCAAAGTCCTTCTCAGTCTTACTTCTGTCTCACACACCTTCCAGGACTCCTAAACTTGACCCCATTCTATAACCACTAAGTACCTCCTGGAATTTACATTTTTTGCATTTCCCATCTTCTCCACTTGACCCAACTCTATTAAGCTTTTGAAGTTCCTTTAAATATTTCCCTCTCCTGAAGCCTTCCTTCAATGTCCCCAGGAGATTGATGCCTGCTTTACCTTGTTCTCAAGGCACTTTTATAATCCCACATCAGTATAATAATTATGGCATAATGAATGTTCGTTCCTTTGTTTATATCCTCTCTTCACAATGTTCACATTCTTTGTTTCATTAATTCCAAGTTGAAAAGTACACAGTAAAGAGAGAAAGCCTGAGAGCAGTAAGTTCTGCTTCTATCCAGTTGTTTGCTCAGACAAATTGCTTATCAATTCAGCACCTCAGTTTCATCATCTCTAAAATGGGATTGCTATAAACTGTCTCTTTGGTTGTAGCTGCATGAAATGAGTTGCTGCATGAAAATCACTTGGCTCAAATCCTGACACACAGTAAGTGTTTAACAAATGCTGGTTATTAGCTATTTGATTTTTTGTTTACTTGGAATTTCATGAAAGTGTCCGTTAAATCTTAATGATCTTTGTACCCAACGTCAAAAAGGCTATTGCAGAGCTTGGTGTTTCATAAGCTCTCGAAAGAAAAACAAGATGTGTACCGAATGAATGAGCAGACACTATGTACAGACATTGTGAAAACAGTCACTGCTGGTATTCGGAACTGCAAATACATAGTTTTGTGTAACATTTCAACTGCTGATCCTGTCAAATGTGCTTACATGGAAGTATTGTGAAAACATTTTAAGGGCTGATACTGTCAAATGCATTGAGGAACCACTGTGAATGTTGACATTGTCAAATGGGGTGTCAAACATGGTTATATGAAAACAATGTAACAGCAGCGTATGTGACATATAGATTTATATTAAAGATATTGTACCAAAGAGCAAGGTTAAAGCACAGCACAGTCCTAGTAAAATTCAAAGTCCTACCTTTCAGCTCATTGTGTTAAAACTACGATGGATCCAGAAATCAGGCACATGTTCATTCTTTTCAAAATATTATGCTGTTCTTGGCGGGGGGGAGGGGTGTAAAATTTAGAATTAAGGCTCCTAACTTAAGATTTCCCTAGGAGGAGTGGCAAAGGCATCCCTCCTGCCCCACAGTGAGGCTTCTGCACACCTTTTAGTCTAACTTCATGGAGCTGGGGACTGCTGTGTGAGCAATGAGGCAGGATGGCCTAAGTGCTCAGATGGCAATCTGGGTCTTTGGTCATAAAGGCTGGAGTCTGCCATTACTCGGGCAAGCCCCAGTAAGGGTCAGCAATGAGATGCCCTCTGTCCCTTTGCATACGGGTTCTGACCTGGCAGTGATGGTAGGGTTCCTGTAGGATGGCCTGGATGACATAACTCAACCCATGCCTCACCCAGAGCTCCACTGTGATGCCATCCTAATTTCCAGGACCCTGGAATTGGCTTTCACACATTATATTATTCTCTCTTTCTCAAAGGTAGCCATTGTTTTCCAGCTCAAAATCAAAACAAACACAAAAGGCAAAAGATATCCTTTTCTTCACAATTGCATTAACTTGTCCATTGTGTCCAGGAGAGAAAAATTGTAGTTCTCTTTTACATCTACTGGTCACATCATATCTAAAATCAAGCGTTCAGGTTAGGGAAGGGAATCAAAGAATTACCTAAAATTTTTGGCATCAAGAATCACAAAATGTTTTCCTCTGTTTATATCCTCCGTTTACAATGTTGACATTCTCTGTTTCATTAATTCTAAGTCTGGGAATTAACTCGTAGAAAATTATCCCTGATGTGGTAAAGATGTCTGTCCAGAGATTTTCATCAGAGCATCATTAAAACTAGGAAAAAAGTTATAGGAGCTGGACATAACAAATATGTAACAATGATAGATTAGGTGAATGAAGAACAAATGGTGTAATGTGATATAGTGTGCATCTAATGAAATGGAGTTTGAAAAAAGGTCTTGATATCAGAAAATATTTATAACATCAGGAAAACCAGGAACACAAATTTTACACAAAATCAGTATGCTCGTGTATTTATATCTGCGATATAAAACAGTACAATGGTCCTACCTGGGTATTGTCATTATGTAAGATTTTTAGGGTCTCTTCCATTTGTTTTCTATATTTTCTAAGTTTTCTACAACGTTTCTTCTTGATGCTAATATGCATCCTTGCAAACAATTTGTGCATGTAATGCAGTGTTTCTTTTTTCTCCCTCCCACTCCAATTACTATTAAATTGATGGTGTGTCTTAAGTCAATTGCATTAGTTTGCTAGGGCAACTGATATGATGAAGTACAACAAACTGGGTGATTTAGACAACAGAAGTTAGAAGCTGGAGGTTGAAGATCAAGATGTGGGCAGGGCTGTTTTCTCCTGAGGCCTCTCTCCTTGACTTGTAGCTGTGTCTTCATGTAGCCTTTCCTCTGTGCATGCACATCCATGGGGTCCCTTCCTCTTACAAAGACACCAGTCCTGTTGGATCAGAGCCCCACCCTGATGACCTTGCCTCAACTTAATTACCTCTTTAAAGTCCTATCTCCAAATACTGTCATGTTAGGGGCTAGGGTTTCAATGTATGAATTGGGGGGAAACACAATTCTGTCCATAATATCAATGGGGTCTTAGAATCAAGAAAATGCAGCATAACTTTCACAATCCATGAAAAGAATGAGCATTTATTGAAGGAAGCAAGAGCCATCAACACACCTCCTCCTGTGGTTGGGATGCTATGGCAGTCAGTCTGACCCATTGCTGACCATTGCAGAGGTCAGGACAAACCATTAGGTGAGAGGTTAGACCCAGAATCCCTCTTCATCGACATGCCTCCCCCAGTTCCCCAGTTCAAAAATGGTTCCACCATATTCTTCTCTATCATCTCAACAATAACATGACCCGCCTTCTGTATGCCCACTCTGACAACGCTCACACAACACTCAGGGCCCACATTTTGGCCCAGACCATAATGAGTCTTGTATTGTAATTTAACCCTTACTGAATACATCTTTTATCTTTAACCACACAGTGAAATTCTCCTAGCTCACTCCTATTCCTCCCCAACCAGCTGCTAATTTGGAAAACATTCTTTAATTATTCCTCATCCCAAAGCAAGTCTAGGATAAGTGCTCCCTTCTGAGCTCTCAGGGCCACTGTCAGTTTTGCTTTACCCATTTATTGGTCTATCAACCTTACACATATGCATGTGCACTCACATGCAAACACAAACACACACACACACACACACACCAACACACGCACACAAACACAAACACAAACACAAACACACACACATACACATGGTGTGAGCTCCTCAGTGCTAGAAATTCTGTCTTAGCCAACTGTCCACCTTCATGGCCCAATACAGTCACTTATTAGCTATGTGTCCTTGGGCAAATTACTTAATACTTAACCTCTATGCCTCAGTTTCCTTCTCTGTAAATAGGGACGATGCCATTATCTACCTCATAGGACTGCTGTGAAAGCTAAATGAGATGGTGAAATTGAGAAAGTGCTGGCTCAGAGTCAGTGCTCAAACGTGTCTGATGACGATTATGACGGCAATGGTGCCGTACTCAGAGCATGTCAAAAGGAGGGAAGGAAGCTTCATCCCAGCAAGAAGAAAGCAGTCTCCACCTTTTCCCTCTTCTGTGAGACCTACCACAGATCTATGTACTGGAGTGATTTCTCAAACAGGATTTAAAGTAAATGAATGATTTGGGCTTCATTCTACCTGGGGACCTTGGGTTTTGTAATGACAAACAGCAG